GCATTGGCAATCGTTTCGCCCAGCACGAGTCGCACGACGTTCGTTGTTTGATCAAAGTTACTTCCCATATTTTGAAAAAATTTTTAGGTTCCTTATTTTACTTTGACGCATCATGGTTTACTCTATACTCATGTATGATTTGTAGCATACACAGCACATATTTGTGAAGAAAAACGATAGCTCACTACGAAATCCGGCTCTTTTTGAAAGGTTGGGGAAAAAGTTCTGAAAAAAATGCTTGTAAAACATTTATTTATGCACCTATTATACCCAAACAAAAAAAAACTAATATTCAAACTTTCGCTTTTACTACTTTTTTCACTGTTAATATTCTTACTTTACTACTAAACACCTTGCCAACTGTGTCTTCGCCCCTAGCCAGATTGATGGGTTCGCTTGCCACCGTTGCGTTTGAACACAGCAGCCATTCGTGCATCATCGACAACCTAATTTGCTCGCTCGTTAACTCCATCTTGGAACAAGTAGATAAATTATATACCAATCAACGCGGGAGAAGACGGGCTTTCAAATGGCTCCAAAAACACATAAAACGGCCGACAACCAAAAAAGTTACAAGCATTTTCTCAAAACTTTTCCCCATCCTATTAGCATTCAAACACGTGCAATAAATTGTACAAAGGATATTGCGATATGATTTGTCGAGTTCTGATTTTCTGATCATATGCGATGCCCAAAAGTCATCAAAGATATCAGAAATTGAAAAACAACGAATGGTTGGTGGAAAGTGGCGATGCACTCTGTATGCCAGATCAGTCGCTGATAAATTTTCATAGTCTTCATTGGAAATTAGCATACTTCAGAAGCAGGGACCTATGTAGAACTATAGAACAGGCATTTTCTTTCTAAACGACTGTTCTTGATACCTCGCTTGAAATAATATAAACTGATAGGATATTTTAAGTCATCCAGAAGTCTGTAATGGCGTCACTAATGCTTCATGTATGTTTCGGACCATACCCACAAACCTTGTCAGTAGCACACGCCTTTTAGTTCACCCCTACAAGTGAAGGTAGCTGCGCAGAACATGTATCACTGCACGTCAAGTGAAAAGATCACTGAACCCTGCGGTGATTAACAGTCGATTGCTCGGGTTTAATGTCGAGACCGACTGCCCGAGCCAGGCCGTTGATACACAAACAAGAAATGTAAGTAGGGTAAGGTGGATGCAAAATACAGATCTATAGAGTTTGTATGATATATGAAGCAATAAAATGGAAAAAATGAGGATTCAAATACCTGAGGACAATTTCTGAAGGACTGCATGAGCCATAATAACGCGCACGAATAACAGCACTTATAATTACATGGATCAACACTGTAATAGGAAATATTCACAGACGCAACACTATCGAATGAATATAATCATGAGCAATAAATATTTCACAATATTCAGCCTAATTATTCTCTTAATTTTTCTCACTAATGGCATACGATTCAGAATGAACCCACAAGAGCGTTCAGAGGCGGGCTAAGCTTGTCACCTGAAGTGGCTTCGAACCCACAATCTTTCTTTTCAGGGGCTTATTAAACATTCCACGGCACTCTCAGAAACGACAAATGCAGGGTTCAAAGCCACCTTAGGCCCAAAATTTTGCACGTATCACAGCACTCTTATGATAACACACGTTCTCTTGAACCCTATTACGCGGATTTAGTATTGAAATTCTCGCTCGGCTAGCTTTTGCACTTGTTCTCCTTTTTCATAATCAACTGACAGAGTCAATCGTGTGCGGGCCTTTTTTATATGATGACAGAATAGGAATAACTAGCTATCAGAAATAAGACATACTTGATGGGTCTGAAGAGTACTTTCAAGCAGATACAGCACGTTAGATGGGCTTCAAGTTGACTAAGCGGCAAAGAGTCGCCTTTTCTTGTCGAACTACCTGAAGCTATTTCGAATACACACTTCACGCTACAATAAAATATGTCGTCATCACTACATTCAACGAGTTACTTCAAACCATCGTGCGACGATTAATTAGTATATAATGAAGAATTCTGATAGGACATTTTAAGCCTTTCGTGAGGTCACTCATGGCACTTATATAGTACTAAATGTACGTTTCGGCCTTTCAGCTTCATCAGTAGCATAGAGCCTTTCGTTTCAGTCAATCCCTTGTGAGGTATACCCGCTATATATAAACGAATTGACGACGAACATGTTACACTGAACGCGTGAGGTCAGAAGGCCAAGTAACGAGCAATGTCTTACAATTCATTGCTGTATAGCAGTGCTATGTTATTCTCGACATATATCTAAGAATGTTGAGTAATTTCCGCAAACTCGGCATCAAGCGCGATTTGAACCCGCGCCCTTATCCATGCCAGAGATGCGTTCTACCATCACGCAATCGATTCCACTGCTCTGCTAGTATTTTTTTCTTCGATAAAAAAAGTGGCAGTGATTGATTCAGCTACCGTCGAAACTGACTGTTTTGCATACTAAGCAACATTCGCAGATGCACATTTAGTACACAAGACTCTCAAATTCCAACGACACGTTTATGGAGACGAAGAAGTGTTGCTATCCTATCTTCGATTCGGTGAAAACTTCAGTCTAATTCTTCACCTCATCAAAAATCAATAGGCTATTTTGGCTATCATAATAAGTGAAGTCTTGTTTAAAAATAGTGAGCAAACAAACTAAAACGGGTATCTTAACAATTCCATTTGCACCTGCTGGTTCGGTAATACTGCAAATGGGACTTCAAATACATATCTCAGTGATAAAGCGTAATACTAGCAGTAAAATTAACGTCTCGATTGTGACGCACACGGAGGAGCCACACGAACAATTTCACGTTGTCCATCGTGAAAATAAAACCTCACATCAGGAGAATCTAAAAACTTTCCAAGCGCTGTGACCACGAAGCTCATATGCCTATTCTCAGCAAAATAAACTCAAAAATTTTTTTCGTCTTGATAAGATCTGTTTCTAAACTATTGCAGTCATTATATATTTTGAAAAGGACTTAAAATAAAACGCAAACGAACATCTTGGAATTAGAAGAAATTAGAATAAAAAAATTATCTCTCACTTGTTGAAACCGTTATTACGTCATCAAAGGCGAGATTTTTCCCTCTTCTTCTTGATACCGGTGTACCGTTTACAAATACGTATGCCCTTCTGAACAAACTTTTTGAGAGAAATCACCAATGTGATATGGTGAAAACATACGAACGATTGAGCAAGAGGAGTTTTACTAATAAAAATAATCGGATCATTTCCGTCATTTATCCGCACTTCCAGACCCCGGAAAAAAAACTTATTTTTTGGTCTCTTTCGAGTTTAAGTAGTAAGTGGCAGCACAAATCTCGAAAATTTTGAAAATATACTCCTTCCTAAGATGGCCTTCTTGTTGCACTCTAACAGAAAAAATAAAGTTTTGTTCCTTATTCGAACGTTTCTTGAAAGACAAAACTTTTTTCCTGGATTTTTAGTGAACATTCGGTAGTTTAAATCTTGCCAACTCCAACACTGTATTTGATTTTTGGGAAAAAAACTTTTATCACGATGTGGGAGCCAAAAAGATGGAGTATCCGCAAATTGGGATCAATTTTTTTTTCAATGCGCACCTTTATCGACTTTATCAAAAAAACGCGGTTTTGTCCTCTTTCTGAGTACCAACATTCATCTTATAGCTTAAATTCTAAAAAATTTTAGTGGTGTATTATGATTTTGAAATTACTTCATTATTGTGCTGTAACAGCAAAAAAAAATATGTTTTTTTTGTTGAACAGAGCTTTTCCTTCAACTTGCACTGACTATTTTGTAACTCTAATTTCGACTACTCAAAGGATATACTTGGACTTTGAGAACGACTTTTTAATGAGTTGTAGCAGCTAAAAGAATATTAAGTTTCGCGTAGCGCGATACTGGCACCAAACCATCGCTGTTTGCCGGTAAATGCAATGCATTCGCACGTTTTCGCCGGTGTCAGATTTGCGTTACCCAATCTTCTTTTTAACAACGTGCTACAACTTTTTTTCAAAAACACAAACACTATTGAAATCGCCAAAATTTAGCTATCTAATGGAAACTAAAAGTCTAAAAGAAAAGCTTTGTTCAGCGACAGATGTATGAGTGAGGAACTTTATTTCATCTTTGCTGCTACAGCCTGCTGAAGTAATCGTCCCATAATTAGAGTATATTTCTAAATTTTCGTAAATAAAGCTATCGAATGACTATTCAAACTTACAGAACCACCAAAAAGTACGTTTTTCCCGAATGTTTGAACGCAGGGTGGATAAGGAAAAAAGTGCCTATTAAGCACAAGAATGCCTACTATCGTGCTAACAGTACTTAGATACGTCATCTGCGACAAAATTAAAGTTTGTTTCTCTTCTAATATACCTGTCTTGAGCTGGTTTGATCAAATGCCGTACCGTATCCCTTACGACCCTTCTAATGAATTCGGCATGAATATCAACCAAATAAGGAACTTGGGTTTGTAATATCACAGCCTGGAACTTGATCTACAATGATGGTTTTCGTTGAACTATCAGGTGATTGATGAAGGCTATCTGACAGTCTTCTTGTTACACATCTTCTCAACAAAAAAGCAAATAACCCTATTTTTCGTACTAATAACAAAAACGCAAAATTTTACTTTGTAGACTACTTTCAGAGATTGGGTGGCGTAGTGGTCAAAAGTGCCGTTCATCACTATCCAGTAGGGGTAGGGTTCGAATTTGTGTGTCGTGCGAGCAAGTCTCCTATGCTCCGGGGATGCTAAACTAATGCTAGATTTGCTTAGCAGAAGTTCCCTTGAACTCATAAAGACTGTTGGACTGAGTGAAGGGAATATTGGGAAAGGCAAATGACATATAGAATACAGATAAAGTACGGTATTTAAACATTACAGAGAGAATTGTTTACTCGTATTCATCAGAAGATCAAATTCCAAGGCACAAGAGCATATCTAAGAGTGAATTTGTAAGTATGCATAGTAATGTAAAGTGATGTGCGAAACGTTCGCGTCAGGCGGGACTCAAACCCACATCTCGCTCTATCCAGGAGCGCGTGCTTTATCCGTTACACTAACTGACGCCCATTTTGCACATCATTCTTTCTACGCTACAGCGCATCTATTTTTTCGCGAAAATTTCGTACATCACTCTATATTACTGGGTATATTATTAACATCATAACACCGAAAACTTGGTTAGATGAAGATTTCTTTGCATAGATGCGCTCTAACGTAGAAAGGGCGATGTGCAAAATGGGCATCAGTAGTGTAACGGATAGAGCACGCATTCCCGGAAAAAAGTGAGGTGCGGGTTCTGGTCCCGCCTGGCGCTAAAATTCTGCACATCACTCTAAAACACTGGGTATATATTCGTAACATCATACCACCGCAGAAAAGCGGTCAAATAAAAAAACAATTTCATTTGCTCTATAATGCCCAATATCTGTCAGCGAGACTGGATTCAATGTCGAGACCGACTACCCGGGCTGGCGGCTGACTGATAGATGCGCAGTTTCCCAAATTCTCGGGAACAGTGTAGTATCCTGTGTAAGAAAACGTTCTTGATTCGAGGCTCTGCGATTTGATCTAATACAAACCAATGCCATGTTCTCAGGATAACCGATCACATTGCTTATACGTTAAAAACACAAAAAAATGGGCGACACCTAAAAAAGTTACAAGCATTTTCTCAAAACTTTCTCCCCATCCTATTAATAGTAGTGATGAAACTAGTGACCGACTTTTCTTTAACTTCGGATCTACCAATAATCACTTCTTCTTTGTTTATTGGGCCAGTTTCACAAAGTTGTTATGAAACGACCGTCTTCGACCAACGTCTTGAATCATTTCGTCTTTGCCAAAGCCAGTCGGTCCGAGCAGGTGCTTTACAGTAGTTTGCTTTCGTTGTACCTTATTTCACAATAACACTTCACTTTTTCTACTGCGTGCATGAGTAGCCCATTGAGTCGTAGAGATTCGTTGAACATCAATTCCTATACTACTTGATAACATGATCAGTGTTAATGTTAATGCATAGGTAATTTGTCGATAGCTGATGCTGACTGTATGGAGTGTTGACTCTTGAACAGTTTGCAGTGGAAAATCAAGAACGTCAGTGAAAATTTCGAAACCTTGGGTGAAGAAAATGCACACTTTTCGAAGTTTTCACTGGTTATTACGAACTCTATCAAGGCTTGCGCTGACTATATTACTAAAAAACCCTCAATACGTTTCTCCTAATAGTCTTTCATTATAGAAAACTTAATTTCCAACTACACTTTTGAAATATCACCGAAAAAAATGAGAAAAAAGGGTGAAAATACGTTGTTATCCTAAGTATGAAGCTTTTGTATTGAAAAGCAATGATTTTTGGGATCAATGGCATTATCTTCTCATAGATACTGTTGAAGAACTTCTTTTAGCATTGTTATATTTTCCCGTAGCGACGAAGTTTTCTTAGAATTATAACTTTACTACATAACTGCCAATAAAACCAGCCGCGAAGTTCAAACAACGCGAAAATTGCTAAGAAAACAAAACATTAGTTAATATAACATAAATCAAAGCCTCAAAAAAGTTCAGCATATGAAACGACATCCCTAAGCAATATAATGACCACAAATCGTAGATAAAATAAAGAGAAAATGTTCAAAACAACTGAGATTGGGCTCCTTTTTGCGAGGATGTTTTTCTTCATGGAAAAATAGGAACTTTTCCACAACTGACAAAAGTGTAACAAAACAATATCTAAACGACAAATGTCGATTAACCGTAACACTTTCGTGCGCCGGAACGTAGTTTTTTCCAAAAACACCATGCCACCGCTTATTCTCCAATAACGAAGTGAATTCTTTTTTGGTTGAAACAGATCAAAATAAGCTGTTTTTGTGGATCATCATGACTATATTGCAGCTTGTTCGTTTTATGCTCTGTGAAGAATAATATCTAATGAGAACTTTAAAACATATGCGATCTATGAGGCTAAACTTCTTGCAAAAACACACACACACACACAAACACAAATAAGTCTAATAGAATGTCTGAAGCTTTTTAAGAAGTCCGGTATGGCATCGAGTTGTAGACGTACTTTTCGGATTTTTTGCATGTTCCATCCATTCCACATCCCCCTTCGGTCCACCTCGACAACTAATAGCATCGGAACCACACAATTTTCACCCGGAGTCAAGTGAAAAGATCACTTGATGTTGCAATCTAGAGTGATTTCTAGTCGATGGCCCACGGATGGTAAAGACGTTATATAGCAATACCTTCTCGTTGACGACTTTAGGGCGGCGCTTTTAATATGCTCAATAATCTTGAGAGATGTGCAAAACTTTGACGTCAAACAGGATCAGAACCCTCATTTCACAATTATCAAAGGCCCGTGCTAACCAACTGCACTGCCGCCACCTGCTTTGCCACTACTCTTTCCCAAGTTGATTACAGTCTGATTGACTGTTCTAAGCCCAAGAGGTCTGGTATGGCATCTTGAGTTTTAGATGGCTCACTCAAACCTTATCAGTACCAAATGCCTCCGATTTACGCCTGTGACTAGTGGTAGCGGAGTCGAACGTGTGTCATTATGCCATACGGGACCTCTTGAAATGCTTAAGACATTCTATGAGATTATAAGGAATTTTGAGCAAGGTGCCAACATATTCCTCCGCACATATGAACACAACGCAAAGGGTAAATGGCAAAAGTTCAATAATGGATCACCCTGTTTCGGTGATCAAATTACTACGAATACTAGTTTTGTGTAGATGGTTTTTCTCTATCTAAAGATCTTAAATGGTACTTTCAGTAAAAAGACCAATCGACTAAGAATTTTGATGAGGACATTGCGAAAAAATGACCTTCAGTTTACTTTGGCATGAATATTTAGTAAATTCTTACAAGATGTGGTCATTGAAACTAGCGCAAGGCTGGCACTCTTTTTTTCATAGAAACAATAGCTGTTTGGTGACTTTGCCTTCTTCAGAGGTTATACTTTATAACACGGTTATACTTTATCGATTGATTTGATACTACTTTATTCCACGAAAAGTCTATTCCACAAACAAAGTCAGAAATCTACCCGTTAAAAAGAGCTTTTTCTCCACAGACTCCGCAAAGTGAGTAGTGTCGCCCGTGTATGGTTCTTACACCTTAAGCAATAACCTCTGCGATGTTCGGTTCTAAGGCCAAAATTTTCAACGGAAAGTTTTTTTAATGAACAGTTGTACCTCATTAGACTGTCAAGGATCATTGATCGATTTTCGCAAGCCTTCTTTCGTAATCCTTTTTTAGGTTTTTTATTTTCTAAACTAGATATCCTACTATATTATTTTTTATATTTTTTGGCATTGCATATATTATACTGTATTATTATCTATGAGCATATGTTTATGTTTTTAAATTGCATATATTAAACTTTTTATATTAGATATTTTGTGTTATTATTATATATTTTTATATTATGTTATCACATTGTCTACTATATTTTAGTTCTTTATATTGTATTATATAGTGTTTGATTTATTTCGTATTACATATATTTTTATCATGTTTTATATTATAAATTCGTAGTCCGAATCTAGCAGAATTCAAGAATCAAGTCTGTTAAGAAAGGTTTCTTTGAAGCGCTGATTCACAATAAAACGATGTTTCACACGCGTCCCGCGTTATCGCGCCTTTCCGCATGATAAAGCTCTTCCCCTAGATTATTAGTAAGTATTCAAAAGCGTAAAATTCGATATCCTGCGCCTGTGTTCCAAAAAGGCCGTTTCACTGCACTGTAGCGGAGAAAGTAAGTCGGCAAGAATGTGTAGTGGCTGTGGATCGCTGGCTGCGATCGATAGACCGCAAAGGTTCTATTCGCTTGTGGGGTGGAATATTGCTGCTAAATTTAGAATTGCTCTCAGATTTGGCAAAAAATCTCATTATAACATTTGGTTCTGATGCTCGAAGATTTTTTCTGCACGTTCATATGCTTTTTGTGCTTGGACTTAGCCTGCTTAGGCTTCTTACTAGGAGACTTATTTAGCACTATATAGCGAGAATGGGAAACCTGAATGCGCTAGAATGGCAGGGGAAAGTCTCTTTCGCAATTGCGTATAAAAAATTCATAAACCTCTGCGAACCAAGAAAGAATTCCGTAGTATTCCGTAATCTGCACCCTGTTTCTATCTTTCGAAAAAAACGTACTTTCTAACTATCTTTTTCAAGTTCCAATAAAAATTTGAAAGCCTAAATCAGAGGAATTCAAACAGTGTACTTTATTTCCAAAATAGCTTTATTATTACGATGTAACAGCAAAAATGAAAACATATTCTTCACAAGCATTTCTCGCTGAGCAAAGCTTTTTCTTTAGAGTTTTAAGAACCATGCGATCGCTCAAATCTCAACAATCAGGTACTTGGCTTGCGAAAAGAGTTTCTTATTACGCTGTAACAGCCAAGATAAGAGTAAGTTTTGCAAATTTGGATCATTTCCGCTAATCGCACTTTTTTTCGATCCCTTGAGAAAAAGCGCCTTCCAATTTTCCAAAGTTTCGGCAGCTATCTAATATCTCAAATATGAGGTATTTCAAAGGAGCGTTTTATTTTCAAAGTGGCTTTGCTATTGCGCCATAACAGCAAAAATAAAACTATGTTTCTTAACCGAGCAGTTCTCGTTGAACAATGCTTTTCTTCAAAACTTTCAGTGAGCATTCGGTAGCTCGAATCTTGGCGAGTCCTTTCTAGAGCGTTGTGGCGGCCAAAAGAATGTTAAGCTTCGCACAACGCGACATTGGCACCTAATCAACGCTTTTTGGCGCTTTGTGAAAAAAATTTCCCAGCAATGCCAATAAGCTATCAGGTTTTTTACGGTGTTCAATCTGCCAAACCTAATCTTCCCCTGATTGTTATAGCGCCTAAGAAGTATTTATTTTTCAAAAGCCAATCAACATTATTGGATGTTTTGAAACCTAAGCTACTGATTGCAACCGAGATTACAAAGAAAAAGATTTTTCAGCGAAAAATGTTGAAATGAGAAACATAATGTTGTTTCTGATGGTTTACTGCCACAATGAAGCATATGCCACTCAAAAATGTTTCTTGATTTAGGCTATCGAATGACTACTTAAACTTGAGAAACAAAGAAAAAGTGTTTTTAAGAGGTCGATACAAAGTGTGGATAACGGAAAACTACCAAAAACTCTCAAACAAATAAAGATAGTCGGAGCGATAAAGCGACGCATGTAAAACACCACTTTATTTCGATTACTACCGCGCTGTAAGAAGTCCTTTCTTCAAAAAGAATGCATTTCTGTATTTCTTGTGCAGGCTTTCAACATAATCAAACTTATTTTCTGACTGATTTTTCCAGAAAAAAATTTTATTACCTCAAAAGCCTACAAATCAAACCAAAACATAGAAGCGCCGATTTTCGCGACAATATCGATAAATCTGAAAACCACGGCACGCTCGAGTCATCGAGAGCCATTGCGTTGAGCAGCGTAATGCTTCCGGATAATGCGCTACCATTATTAAAATTGGGTTCAAGTTTCGCACATAGTCTAACCATTTTCAAATCATCCACGCTCGAGATCGTATGCAGTCTGCAAGAAATTAAAAATCAACTGCGCTAGAAGATTAGGTTGGAAGGGCTAAGTAACTAAAGAGAAAGAGGGGCACTACCTACAGTTCTCTTGCACTAGCTTTCGTCAAAGAAAAAAACCAAAAGCGAAATCGACCTTGTTTTTAACGTATTTCAAGCAAGTTCTACAAGTATTTCACCACTTTCGGCATAAATGATCAAGCTCCAACTTAACTCACAAACAAAAACAGGGTTTGTACATAATCAGGGAGCCCGCAGGAGCAAAACCTAAACGTCTGTCCTTTAGTAATAAAGGTGTGGAATGCGCGGTATTTCCTAATCCTTTGGATGTCGAAATAACGAACAAACTTTTTCAGTATGTACTCCTCTATCGAACATTTTCTGAGAAGGTATTTAAACGCCAATACCTAAATTCAAATGAACAATGGGTCAACACGGCAAAGGCAACGAGATCGGGAGCTTCAGTTATCTTTCGACTTAAGAACCACGGTCTAATCTGTCTAGTTTTATACCTACTCATAAAACACATGAATTAACATGTACTGGTGGTTTTGTGTCAAATGATCCATCAACATAGAAGGTAGACCTATCACCAGTTGTATATTCTATAAGTTCTTTAACATGGATAACGTGGACCGTCTCACATTCCAATAGCTCTTTTGCATTAATGCAAAGCACTAATGTGTCTAAGACTTACTGGCCAGGCTGCAATTTGTGTTTTTCTCTGAAACCCTTCTGTTGAACAGAAGGGGAATTCTCGGCGTCGACTGCTTCGATTTCCTGTGGCAACCTTATCTGTTGGTTCGTCTTTCGTATGCGCGTTTGTTCCAAGCTTGTCAACTTTTAGAGAGTTGACGGTTCATGCTGCAAGCTAATATTTGTAATACACTTAAACAACATCCAAACTTTCTAAATGAGATCTCCTCAGTCGGCAGCTTTCTATAGACCTTGCTCAAACAGTAATAATCTGATAAGGCTGTAACATGTTTTGAGCCATTAAGATCTGGATATACTCCACCATGAAGGAATCAACGTCGAGCAATAGATTACTGCAAGTCAGATGATAGACTCACCTGACATTGTAATAACAGCAATTTTGCTGGTGGTTTTGAAATGAATCACACCTCTCCATAAGACCGTTTTTTTATAGACCTTGCTCGAACAATGATAATATGATAATGATATGACATGTTTTGAGCTATTAAGTTCTAAGTGCTTTACAAGTTCATGGCTCGTGAGTTAATGGCTCGAAACATGTTACATCCTAGTCTTAATAAGAAAAAACATGCATGTAGCAATGTTCTTACAATCTTCCGAAGCTTTAAAAGCACTCTCGAACGGTGCACTTTTACCCTGATAAATCGTCCAAATAGTAGCTCGTGACCTTGTTGCCCTTCAGGGAAGTCCTCACAGTACCACATCGTTACTTCTTCTTAACTGGCGTTGTTTGAATTCAACAAAATATGACTTGCACATACTCTGTGCACCCAAATAGGAATAGTAACAACAAGGGCAATAAGAGCATTTATAAGAATAAGATTAGCATTGTTAGTGAGTACAGGATAAAAATTTAGCTCAGACTTTACCTTTCTTTCTTCCTTTTTTTTTTAAAGTGGTGGCAGAACAAACTCAATAGTGCAATTGGTTAGTACGCGCCCCAGGAGAGGGCGAAATGAGGGTTCGATTCCCGCCTGATGTCGACGCTATGAACACCGCTCAACAATATATGCATTCACTTCGTATGGACTAACAGACCTTTTAAAAAAAATCTGGACGGCTTTCCCACTAAAAATACATTCTCATTTTCCCTTCAGTAATATTCTATCTAGTCTAATCCAAAGTTTCACTATGTAACATCAAAAATTCCGCTGGGAAGTGCAAAATATAAAGTGCGATTACGAAACCTGTTATTTCGTTGGTTAGAAAAACGTGGTATGAAGGTCGAACCACAAGCCAAGCATACCATGAGGATCGGCATTTATCAAGCTATCGAACGACTATTGAAACATGATCCAAAAATGATGAAACAAATGTTATATAACGGTTAGAAATGTGTTCCTTTGTGGAAAGATGCGCTTTCTCTTGTTGAAAAATAGTTTATTCTTTGATAAATAGTGTTTTCTTGTTCAAAAACGAATCAAAGTTTCACATGATTCTCTTTAGTGATATTTCTCATTGGATAGTGATAATGTTTTCTTGGAAACCTAATTTACCAAGTAATATCCCTCAAATTTCCACATCTTATGCTTGCGCCGTATAAAACTCTGACGCGCGAAAGAGACCATGGGTCAATATGAGCCATATAGTTCGCAAGCGGTTAAATTTATACCATTCCAACTACCCAGTGCTCAAATGTTCCTGGATCACCTATATTGCGCGCAACCAAACAAATCGCACGTAATGAGATCATCTGTTGCTACCTCTTTTTATAGAAACGTAACAAATGACCCTGCAATGCAAGTCATTCTTGGACTGCTTACTGAAAATGAGCAAAAATAAATAAATAAATACGAGTGGCTTTTCAACTCAACAACTAATGACTATTCTTAAACAATGTTTCAGACGCTTCGGTGATCGGGAAAATGATTCACACAACTTAAAGTGTTAGCCATGGGTCTATGGTTGGCATCTAATCTTGCTATCACCTTTATGTATAAGGTGAAAGCTCCAGTTCTTGATCACTGCCCATCGCTCTTCTGTCGGTATATAGAGGACTGTTTCATTGTCTGTTCCACACAAGAGGAATTGGACAAATGTTTCGAAGTCTTAAATCGACAGTCACAGCATGGAAAATTTGCGCGAGGGAGTCGAAACGGGAGCTGGCTTCCATTCTTAAACATCTAAATAAAGCTTTTAGATAGTGACTATGATAAGAAATAGTACAGAACACCGAGTAGCAAGAATATTTCAATCCATTACCCTTTCTCATATTCTTCACAGATGCAAAAAGCACTTATCAAAAACATGTACTGATCGGCTAGAAATGTAAGCACAGAAGAGAAAAGGAACGAATCGTTAACTTTGGCACGTGATAGCAATTTTCAGTGGCCACAAATTATCAGCCATTCGAGAATATTTGAAAAGTTAAACTGGGTTTAAAAGTAGCAGTACTCCACACCTAATTAAGTCCCCTTCAAACTGACATTTATATCAAAGAAATCAGTAGGCGCGATTAAAAGGTGCCTATAACGATGCGGTCTTGAAAATTGTGTGATAGTTACTAAACTTCCACCTTCCACCCTGCGTCATCAGCTAATTCTCAATAGATTTTACGATCGATGGTGCGACACAAAAAACTTTATAATATTTTCTAACGAAAGGTGGGGATCGTATGAGATCGGGCCGATTTATTTGGTAACATGTAAGACATGCGTGAAAGAATATAAGGCGAAAAGGGCAACCCCTTTTCATCCGCATTAGGGAACATATGCATAGTAAGTCAAAAATTGATAAAAAGAGACCTCTAGCTTACACAGGGCACAAAAACATAGCAATAATGATTTTGATGTTACTGTCACGATCGCAGCGTAGTATCATAACCGTCGACGCGCAAAACTTGAGGCATTTTGGATCAACACCAAAAACCATAAAATGAACAGCAAAGTCGAATGCGTCACTATCACACGAAATCTTGCACCATTTCTCGTCCAATCTTTTGACTTGACCTAAGCGGTATATAAAATCCTCCGAATCATTCAAATAGTCTAGTACTACAAACATCCAAAATCTGAAGAAAGCAAGTGGCCGAAACGTCAGCCGAACTATTATTCGTGCTTACTCCAGTACAACGAAACAATCATAGGAATAGGAAAACAAGTTTGCAAGAATATTCACTGAGAGGATTTCTTGTGTAGTTATTAAAAGGTTACAGGACTGATTTCGCCAATAATCGTCATAAAGAAAGATTTTTTAAAAGAAGTATAAGGAACTTGAAAGGCTAAGACCGCTAATTTAACCGCCCTCCCCCTCCCCCCCCCCCCCCCCCCGTGTAGTTTGAGATTCTGCCAGACTGAAGGTGTTTCAGAGGGAGAGGGTGGTTGAGTGGCCAGTGGCTGGCGACGTACATCGCGGATAGGCACTGGGTGGGTCCTCTCTCCCAAAAACCTTCACTAATCAATAACGAACTCGCTAGGGAGGCCCCCAGTCTAGCTATCTTTGAGATTGCAATATGTGTTCACTTTATATCCTGCGAAGTTTATGAAGAAGATGAATTCTCAATCAAGCGTTGAACACGAAGAGACGGAATGAGTGCTAGAAGTGCTGGGGTCTGCAGAGGTAAAGGACTGTGATACGGATCAAATGAAGTGGTGAAAAATTGGTGTTTCTGAGGAGGGCGTAAAACATTGCGGTGGTTCAATATAGTTGATTAACTGACTTCTGTACTTCCATCCAGGTTTGCCAGAAAAGACAACAGAACTATAGATATATTCATCAAACATTCGAAGTGTATAAAGTGTTTGCAACATAGAGATTAACAAACTAATAAGATGATCACCTAAAAGTATCAAAATTTGGGAGGGTATTCAAAATAGTAGGAGCACATATGGCGCAGTGGTTAAAGGTGCTCTGCGTTACACACAAGGTCACTGGTTCGATGTTGCGCCCAAGGCTCACGAGGTAATTCAGCCCTCCAGGGCTGATAAACTGGTACTCTACTGGACCCAGGTTTGTCTGGGAGGATAAGCAGCACTGACTCACTACCGCGAGAGCCCTTGTAAAGTCCAAATATGCATTCAATTGCCTCAGACGAAGTTCAAAATCGAAGATGAATGCATGGCTCATCTCTCAGGGATTGATGAACGCCAAGAGCTTTATACCTTATCTTTTTATTGAAAACAAAAATAAAGCTATCTTAATTAATGATAAGTGACTATATATTTCAGTGATTAATTGAGAATAATTCTCCAAATGTCTCAATGTTTTTGCCGTATCAATGAATACACGAACCCTATAAAGAATTCAAAGCTTTTTCGGGTTCAAGCCGAAAGGATAGAAATTTAGGCAGCCCACCTTAACTGAACATGAGCAGTTCATATTCAATGTTCTAATGCAAGGAGATGTTATGTTAAAGAGTAAAAATCACTTGAAATGGAGAAATCTAAAGCCAGAAACAAAACCACAGAGTTTCGAGATTAAAATAACTCACCGCCTCACTCCGCAAACTGAATGATGGCGAAAGTATGTGGGCTGCAGACAGTAAATTCCACACTACCACCCATTCACTAAGTGTCCATTTGTGCACTTGAGGACCAACGCGCCACTGATTCGCTTTAGAACCATCGTGCCACCGGCTCGCAACAGTGTGTGCCATTGGTTCGCAATCGAAACGCGCATTGAAATCAAGACGCAGCTTATGAGCAACTCTTATGTATCTCTCATGGAATCTTGCATGAGCATCTATGACTACACTAAAACGGTCCTTTCACAAAATTTAAGTGCATTGCTAGAATCACTGGAATTTACGCTATCAAGTGATCACTAATAGTCTAAAGAAAGAGCTGTGTCAGGCGAGCTGTAAAGCACATATTTTTTCTTTCTCCTGCAGCGCTATCAAAAGAGCTTTTCTACGAAGCGGATACATTTGTGGATTCTTCGAGACTTATGCTATCGAAGGAGTACTAACTGTTTAAGAAATGAGTTTTTGTTAATCGAATGATGGGCGAGATAAGAAAAAACGCGTTGTCGTGTAAAACATAGTTTTAATTAGAGTTTTAGAGCGTTATAAAAAGGTCTCGCAGAAAATCGGCTCAGTATAGCCCTAGCGAGAGATTGAAGCTTCCAAATGACTGGATGAAAAATTCTTCTTCAGCGAATAAGCTCCGCTAAGATTGAGGGATTGTTCATTTATCGCCGTCTAACATAGAATTACCGTTTCTTCGTTAACAGATTACGCAATTTTTTTTGAAGTTTTATTTTTTAGGTACTTTTCTCTTATCTACGCCCACATTCAGCCCCTCAAATTTTCGCTTTTTCTTGAAAATTTCAGTAACCATTCAGTAGCTGCATCTTAAGAATTTGAGCGGTGTACTTCATTCCTAAAACGTCCTTTATATTGGGCTTAACAGCAAAAATAAAATTTTATTTCACACTCAGCCATTTTTCGCTGAACGAGGTTTTTTTTTGAAATTCAATGGTCGGTCAATAGCGCAAATCTCGACAATATTAACGATGCATTTGGTTTTTCACAAAAACTTCTTGTTGCGCTGCAATACTGAGATGAACAGTGCATTTCACACGCAGCGCGCATACCTTGCACCGGTATATCGATGGAGTCCGCAGCGTTGGCGCTTAGTCATCGCATTTCAATAACCATTTGATAGATCACATCTCCAAAACTTTTACCAGTGCACTTTTTTTCTAAAATGGTTTGTTTACTACTCTGATAAAATAGAAGTAAATCATCTTTCACTTTCGAGCATTTCCTGCTGAACAATGCTTTTTTCCTTAGATTTTTTGTGATCATTCGATAGCTCGAACTCGACGATCGCAATGAAACGCTTGGCTTCCGAAAAAAGTTTTGTGGCACTGTATCAACTAAAAGAATATTGGGTTAACCGTTGCATTGCAAATGTTACGAAATCCCACCCACATAGAGCAGCAAAGAGTGCGTGCTGAGTGCAAAGTCCAACATCTACTTGGCTGCTACAGCGCATCCAAAAGTGTTTTTCAAAAACCAAGCACGCCATTGGAACAAAATTGA